TGGCCCCCTCGCCCTTGCTGCGTCGGCTGGATCGTTCGCCGCTGACCCCGCCCCCGCAGCGCAGGAGCGCCAGCCCCCATGATACCGATGGGTTCTCGGGAGATCGCGGGCGCCTGCGCGCCGAGCCAACGTTTGCGGCGGCGGCGGCGGCTGCGTCCCAGAGCCGGCGCGCGCCCAGCTCCTGGGTGATCGATCGCATGGTTGCCCAAGCCGCACTGGCATAATCTAACCGCGCTATTCGGCACCAAGCCCACGAGCGTTCGGCGCCTAGGATCCATCCGTATGGAGCTTGCATTTATACTTTCATATTCGATTACAAGCTCACATGGGGCTTCTCTCATGAGGCTCACTGAAGCTTACATGGGCCTTGTTACGCGGGGCTTGCTACATTACATCCCTCTTACTAGATGGGGCTCCTTTATTGCATGAGGCTTGCGCTACATGGGGGGCTGATTACGACATGGGGCTTACATTCCTCTTGCATGAGGCTGCCCTGGGGCCCCTTCATTCCTCTCACATGGGTTTACGCACATTCCTCTTACATGGGGTTTACATTCCTCTTACATGGGGCTTACATAGGGCTGCTTACATTTTTACTCCCCATCGGGCTTTGCCATTTTCAACCTCCCGTCTACTTTCAGATCTGCTGGCAGGAGTAGGGGGGCCCGCATGAATGGCGACGGGGATTGATTTTGAGCCCCGCGCTTCCGCTGCGTTAGTTAGTAGCCCCTCCTCTCCGCCACCTCGAGGCGGCGGCGGCGGCTGGCTGCGCAGCGCGCCTGCTCGACAAACTTATTAGTCCCGCGCAGTTCGACCCCGCGCAGTTTAGCCTCTCAGAGGATCATCACGCGGCGCGCGCGCCGGCGCGTACCCTTGCTGGAGTACTGGCGCAGCTCTTCGTCGTAGTCCCCTTCTTCTTGAAGACCACCGTGATGTTCTCGCCGTCGCGGCTACGAAAGCGATGCCATTCAGCCCCAGCTTGTTGGTAAGCAGCCTCAGTAGCCTTGGAATCAGCGCCCCAGAAATCCACCCAATGGCCACTTTTACAGCCCCAAGGGCTGTCGGCGAACTGCCAAGTGACAGCATTCGCCCCATTCTTCTTATTGGCCCCCTCCCACCACTTCCAGCAGCCTGCTGACGACGCCATCGCTTGACTTCTCAGCGCCGTTCGTTTGCTCTTCGCTTGTAGCGAAATAATGGCGCAATGGTAGCGCCCACTTCCAGCTTAAATGGCAGCGGAGCAAGCAGCAGCGGGAAGAGCGGGGGGCGATGATCTTACGGTGGGGGAGGGGTAGTCGTAGTCGACCCGAGACGACGGTTGCATTTGGCTGAGTTTTCTAAGCTTCAGCACTATAAGTTATAACGAATTATTCAGATTCTCAGTTCCAGCGGATTTACAAACTGCAGCAAACTTCAGAGTTGTTTCAGACCTGCTTGCCTGGCCTGGCTGACCCGGCCAGATTTACGAACTGAAGCAAAACTTTCATGTTTCACCGCGGCTGGGCTGGGCCGGGCCGGCCAGGCCGGGCAGGCCGGCATGGATTCAAACTCCGGATTTTACAATTGAAATATTTCTGAAAACTTCAGTTTCTAGAAAACACATTAATAGCAGGTTAGCTAGCCGGCCCCGGCCGGGCCGGCCAGGCCGGCCAGGCCGGGCAAGCCGGGCTGGATTCAAAGTCGCGATTTTACATTTCCAGCATTTATGAAAACTTATCAGTTTTCCAAGAAAAAACAGCTTCAGGCGAGCCGGCCGGCCGCCGGGCCGCTTGGAAGTTGGCCTTCACAACAAGTGGATGTTTTTTTCCAGGAAATAATGGGCGGACTGAGCCAGACAAAAAAAATGAATTATCCACCAGGGAAAACAAGTTTGGATTATTATCGACGCTGTGAAAAACATATCCATCTGAAAATTCTACGTTGCATTCTTTTACGCGGCTGACAGCAGACGCAAACACACCCTCTTCCTCCTGTCGGGGCCTCCTCTGTCGCAGCGGAGCGCCCCGCAGCCCCTCGTCTTCCTCGCTCCTCCTCCTGGTCCTCCTCCTCCTCATCCTCCTCCTGTCGTTCTCCTATCCTCCTCCTGGTCCTCCTCCTGATCCTCCTCCTCCTCCTGCCTGGCCCTCCTGAGTCTCCCTCCTGTCGTTCTCCTCCGCCTCCTCCTCCGGGCCGCGGCAGGGGCCTCTGGAGGAGTCTCTGGACGCAGCTCAGCCTCCTCTCCTCCGCCCCCCCCTCATCCTTCTCCAGCACCTCGCAAACGACTTTCTCCTTTTTTATATTATGCAGGGGGCGCTGCGCACCGCGCCTGCTGCTGCTAAGTTAAATTAGCGCCGCGCTGGCTGCCTGCCAATGCTTAGCCCCCCACCTCAGAGGATGTTCACACGGCGCACGCGCCTGCGCACGCCCCAGCTGGAGTGCTGGTACAGCAGCTCGTTGCAGCCCCCTTTGTTCTTAAAGACTAGAGTGATGGTGCCGCCGTAAGAGCTACGAAATTCGTATTACGATTTAGCCATCATGGTAAGCAGCTTCAGCAGCTTCTGAGTCAGAGCCCCAGAAATCCACCCAACGGCCATCCTCATAGCCCCAAGGATTGTCTGCGCACTGCCAAGTGACAGCAGAAGTAGCCCTGGGCGCACTGCCAAGCGTCGGCGCACTGGCTTGGAGCCACGGGAAGCAGCCTCCAGGCATCATTGCTGGAAGTCTTAGTGCCGCGCGCGTCGTCTTTCAGATCAGCGCCGCCCAGAACAATTCGAGCCGAATCAGCCGCAGCAGGAGAGATCACCCCAACGGCGTTAACTTCAGAGCTAATCCGGAACCAGGCGCTAAATTTTAATCCCAAGAGGTTGCCCAGAACCAGAGTTAATCCAGAACCAGAGCTAATAATTCAGAACCAGGAGCTAAGGGGCTAATCAAAAGGTTTTCCCAAGCTAACCATGAGCTAAAGCGCTGATTCATAAATAATCCCGCTTTCGCGCCACGCGGCGCGACGAGCTCCGCCGATTTGTGAGAAGCAATACTTGGGTGGGCCGTTGAAAAATTAGTTCTCTCTTGCATTTTTCCCCTTCTCCCCCTTTGTCCTGGGAGGAGGGGGAGACAGACAGGTCAGGGCAGGGCGACGGTGACGCCGCCTGCTGGGGAGGCCGCGTCCTGAGAGATTGTTCGCGCCCGCGCTGTCTGGATTCCGCGATGGTGCCAGGGAAATATAATATGCCCCCGTCACTCTGGATCGATGTTTTGGTTTGCCCTGGGGGGCGTGGAACTTCAGTTGGGCGCAAGGGCGCGGGCGACGTCAGCATCTGCAGCGGGCGATTTGTGGCCCAGACGGAGGGGGCGACAGACCCCGGGGACCTCAGCGGCGGGCACGCATTAGGTACAATGGGCCAAGAGCACGCATGGAACCGCCTTTAAACAACGAGAACCCGCTACCTCGTTAACAATCAACATCGAACCAAACCCCGTCGACAATAACCAAGTTCAAGCCGCCAGAACCAAGCAGTATAACCTTAAGCCGAAATAGGTACGATAGAGGGTGAAGAAGAGAATTTGGCATTACCATCCAAGGGTTAAAAAGAAATAGGAATGGAAAAAATAATGAGGATGACGACGACAACGGCGGTGACAACGACAAAAACAACGGCAACCACGACAGGAAGGACACTTTCAACAACAACGACAAGCAAAACAACGACAACGCTTTCAACAACACGTTCAACAACAACGACGAAGAAGAAGGACGAAAAAAAAAAAAAAAAAAAAAAAAAAAAAAAAAAAAAAAAAAAACTCGAGGAGGACGGGGGGGGAAAGAGGCGGAGGGTGCGACGACGACGACGCGGCCGCCGCGGTCCTGGAGCACCGCCACCGCGCTCCCCCCTCCTGGCCCTCGCAGTTCCTTATGCCGCGGTCCTCCTCCTCGTCTTCTTCGGGTTCCTCCTCCCTCCCCCCCCTCTTCCTGTTCCTCTTCCCTGCTCGGCTGCACGGGCACACGCTCGCACTTGCGCGCGTGTTCCAGGACCCGCACGTACGAACTACCAGTACGTAACAGCGTGCATGCGTGCGTGGGCCAGCCAGCCTCATACAGTCATCCACATGTGTGCATGCGTGTGTGTGTGTGTGTGTGTGCGTGTGTGTGTGTGTGTGTGCGTGTGTGCGTGTGTGCGTGTGTGCGTGTGTGCGTGTGTGCGTGTGTGCGTGTGTGCGTGTGTGCGTGTGTGCGTGTGTGCGTGTGCGTGTGCGTGTGCGCGTGCGCGCGCGCGTGTGTGTGTGTGTGTGTGTGTGTGCGTGTGTGTGTGTGTGCGTGTGTGTGTGTGTGCGTGTGTGTGTGTGTGTGTGCGTGCGCGTGCGCGCGTGCGTGTGTGTGTGTGTCACAGGGCCCGTGCGAATTACCAGTACTGGCGTGTGTATGTGCGCGTGTGTGTGCGTGTGTTCCAGGGCCCGTGCGACTTATTGGGAAGGGTGCGTGCGTGTGTGCGTGCGTTTGTGCGCGCGTTCCAGGGCCCGCGCGAGTGCCCAGTAACGGCGCGTGCGCGTGCGTGTGCGTGTTCCAGGACCCGCGCGAGTTACCAATATTTTTTTGCTATTCAGATCCACGCCCAACAGGGGACAACATAAAATTGGCATGATCTTTCCCGTGCGAGTTACCGATAACGGCGCGCGCGCGTGCGCGCGTGTGCGTGCGTGCGTGTTTCAGGGCCCGTGCGAGTTACTAGCGACGGCGTCCCCAACAAGGAGCGGCCCTCTTGGGCCCTCTTGGGCCCCCCCTTAGAGCTCTGTTAGGGCCCTCTTAGAGCTCCTCCCCATTCTCGTCCTCCTCTTTCGTTGCCCAGTGATCTAGCCTCGCCATCATCACCATGACATCATCATCATCATCGTCAGCACCATCATCATCAGCATCTCAGCATCATCATCATCATCATCATGACAATCCCACATGATTTCCTCGCGGCTAGCGGCTGCTGCTGCTGTCGCACGGCCAACGGCAGCCGCTGCCGTCGGCAGCGATCTCAACAGATCGCGAAAGATGTGGTCGGAGCCTTCGGCATCTTCTTTGCGATGACATCGCCGACGCCAGCGGCCTTCTCGCGCAGCAGCTCGCCGATCTTCTGGTCGTCTGTCAGGTCGGGGTTCGGGGCGAGGAGCGGCTTCTTGAACGAGAACGCGTAGACCTGCTTGGTCCTCGGGCCCACCAGGTCGAACTCGACCGACTCGAACGCCAACTTGTGAGTGATCACGGGTGGCGCCTCCTTCTTATTGCTCTCCCTCTTCTTGACCTCGGGCGCGTGGGATGACGAATCGTCTGCTTTCTTGTCTGGGGCCACCTTCGCAAGCCACGCCAAGTTAAAGTCGCCCCTCTCGAAGTTCTGGAACCTGCTGCCGTAGAGGAAGAGCGAAACGCCGTTGGAAGATCCAAGGTGCAGCAGCGACGACTCAGACAACCCGCGCGTCTCCTCGTACTCGACCACACTGCCGCGAAAGTTGAGCTGCGCGTCGCCGGGCTCTTTCTGCTTGATGGCCATCGCCGTGGAAGATGAGCGCGCCTTCTGCTCCAGCACCAGCTTCTCCAAGCTGACCCCCTGCAACTTGGGATCAAGGTGCAGCGGGAAGAGCTTCTCCTGCACTTGGTTGATCAAGTGGCGAAGGGAAACCGCTGAGAATGGGGGGATGCGACCGCGCCCGCCCCTGGCGGCTCGAGCTCCACCTCCTTCTCAATGCCAGCCTCCGCCTCGCGCGCCTTCTTGAACCACTGATCGACGTAGTACGTCTTGTCCTCGTCGTCTTCGAAGGTGACCTCCGCGGGAAGGTCGCCGCTCGACGCCGCCGCGGCGGCGCCCCCGGCGCCGGCGCCCGCGGGCGGAGCTGACATCGAGAGACGCAGGCCCTCCATGACATCGGCAGGCGAAGCTTCGCCCTTCACGCAGCGGCCAGCGAGCTTGACGATGTCGATGTCGGGGCAGGTGTCCCCCCCACACTTCACGATTTCATTCAGCACGGCCTGCTTCTGCTCAGGGAACATGTCGCACGACTTCGGGGCTGAGAAGTTGCACACAACGCGGCTCCGCCCGCGCGCTCGCCGCCGCCGCGGTGCGCTCAGCCGAAAAGGTCGAAGACCACGTCCTCGTCCTCCTCCTCCTCCACGGCCGCGGCCTTCCTCTCCTCCTTCTTCTCGCCGCCGCCCGCCGCCGGCGCTGCGGCCACCGGGTTCGCCGCGTTCGCCGCAGCGCACGCCTCGGGGTCCTCCAGGAACTTCTTGACAGGCTCCATTTCCTCCTCCTCCTCCTCAGCGGCCGGCTCCGGGGCCTTCTCCCTCTGCGGCGGCTTCTGGCGCGGCGCCTCCTCCTCCCCCTCCTCGGCGGGCTCCTCCTTCCTGGCTGGACGGGCAGGGGGCCTCTGCGGTCTCCTCCTGGCCCGCTGCCGCCGGCCGCCGGCTCGTCCTCGTCCTCCTCGCCCTCCTCCTCCTCAACGCTCGTCGTGCGTTGCCTCCTGGCCGTCGTCCTGACAGCCTCCTTTGGGCTCCCGCAGCCTCCCTGCTGCCCCCTCGTGGTCTCGTCGTCGCTCTCCAGCCGCTGCTCCTCCTCCTCCTCCTCCTCCTCCTCCTCCTCCTCCTCCTCCTCCTCCTCCTCCTGGTCGCCGCCCTCCGCGGGGCTTCCTCAGCGCCTCTCTGCTGCCTCCGCATGGCGTCGTCGTTGTTCTCCTGCTGCTCCTCCTCCCCCTCTTACCCCTCCTCCTCCTGGTCGCCCCCCCTCGGCTCGTCGCCCACGGCGCCCGCCGCCTGCCCTTGCGCCTCGCGCGACGGCCGCCGCCGCCGCCGCCTCCACTGCAGCCGCCGCCGCCAGGCGTGCCGGGGTCGCCCCGGGCCGCGGGCGCTGCAGGCGCTGCAGGATGGCCCGCGCGTTCTCCCTGTGTAGGGAGATGGAGAGTCGCTGGGCCATCCTGTCCGCCGTGCTGGCGGCCTCCTCGCCGCGCGCGTCGGCCGCGCGCTTAGCCAGCGCGGCGAAGGCGCGCCGCGCCTCGCCGCCCCAGCTCCCGCCGTGCGCCTCCACCACCATTGGGATGAGGGCGAGGTCCGCGTCGCGGCAAGCCGGCGCCGCGCCCTGGCGCTGCCGCTTGTACTCCTCGTACCTGTCGAGGGCGGCGGCCGGGTCAGCGGCGGAGCGCGCGATGAGGCCCGCGCGCAGGCCGGACGTCACCGCGAAGTCCAAGGCCGCCGAGAGCCCGCCGCGCCACCGGGGGATATAGACATCTGCTGGCCGGCGGCCGTCGTTGTCTAGTCCGTCGCCGTCGGGCTCCTCGGCGTTCGGCCCCTCGCCCGGCGCCCGCGGCGGCAGCAGTCCAGGCCGATCCAGCTCCGCCCCCGCTGGGCGGCCCAGGTCGCTTACGAAGTGGTTGAGGCAGATACATCTCACTTGTATGTCACTTGCATTTGCATTGCATCTCGTTGCATGTAGTTGCAACTGGGGTAAGCAATTGCTACCCGAGCTAAGATGTTAGGGTAGTTGGCTATCTCGTCCAAGCGCATAGGGGAGTTGCTATCTGAGTTAGGTGTAAGCCACATAAGTCGGTTAGGTAGGTTAGGTAGGAGGTTCGGAAGTGGTTAGGTAAGAGCTTCTGAGGGGTTAGCTAAGCAGTTAGCATAAGTAGGTTAGCCCAGTTAGCTAAGTGGTTAGGGGGCCCTACGAAGAGCCCCCCCCAAGCCTCCAGAATTCGAAAATCGAAGTCCATGGCGCAGGGTTCTCATCAGAAATTGGCCGCCGATCGAATCAAACTGCCCACCAGAAAACTCAAAACCCGCAAGTCCCCCCATGAGAAATAATGACATGACGGATGATAAAACCTGATTCCCTCCATAGCCGTTCTGGCTCAAGCCTCTGGCTTGCACCTTTCTCGGACTGAGCTCGTCCTGCGCAGAGTTCCTCTGAGATGAGCCTCACGGCGGCTCTCCAGCAGGAGCTTGACGCGCTGGTGCCTCGCCTCTCGGAGCTCGTCGCTCGTTTCGGTGGCGCCGACGAGGATGCGAAGCAGCAGAAGACGGAGTGCGACGAGATCTTGGAGTTACTTGTATCCAAGAATTTGGCATACTACGTCGTCTTCGAGAACGACGCTGTCGGCATCCACTCCGACAACCGCTACGGCGACGGCGTCCAGGTAGACGAGGTTCACTCGCTCATCCTTCGCATCGTGAACGTCGGCTTCTCCTTCTCGGCCCTTGGGAGCCCGCGGGCATTCGAGGTCGGCCCAGGAGAGCAGGGGCAGAAACAGATAGTGTTCAACGAGCTGCTGGTTGCTGGCAGCGACGGCGCGCTACCGCCAGTATCGCCGCAGATGAAGATCCTGGCGGTGTCCTGCGCCCACACGTTGATGGGCCTGCGGTGCGTACAGCACGGCGTGAAGGGATTCGACGAGGAGCTCATCGACGATGTCGGCCACATATCTAAAGATAAGGTCTACTCCTTGTGCCCCAGCTACGCCAAGCCAGTGGCTGAGGGCTTGCGTTGGCTCGTGATTCGGAGCCAGGTCGACAAGGCTGTGGAGGGCTTCGCCAACTTCGTTCAGGAGTCGTCCAACCTTGGTCATGGAGCAGAGCGCCTTCAAAGTAAAGTACAAACGCTGCTGCAAATCCACGACATGATCATTCGTAACAAGAAGCGCTTCAACGATCCGAAGGTCGACCAGATCGTCAGGGAGATCGAGAAGACGAAGCCTTGGCTGAAAGGCCACGTGGGCCCCATGACAGATTTCGTCAGGCTCTATTCGGGCGGCGACGTCCCCGTCTACATCACGCAGATCTGCGCCTACGCGAAGCAGCTTGGAGATGCTCGGAAGGACTTGAGCGCCCAGACCTTCGCTGCCCTCGGAGCGGTCAGCTTCGTCCAGGGGCCTGAGTGGATGGCGGCGTGCGTGAAAGCGAGCTTGGCTGCACCTGACGCCCACTGCCGCGATGGGTTGGCGAGGCTGCTGACGACGACAGACGTTCAGAACACGACGAAGCCCGCGCTGAAGCTCAAGGTCCTGCAGTACATCTCCACCCACAAGGTTGCGAGGGCGTGGCTTCTCGGAGTCAAGGCGAAGCTCCCGAACGTGGACTCCAACATGAACTTCGTGATAGAGAAGCTGCTCGGCGATATGGATGTCAGGGCTGTGATGCACGCGTACCAGAAGAAATCTCGCGGGCGCCGTAGTTTCAAGGACTTCGACGAGATCAGAGCTACCTTCTTGCGGGAATGCCACATCGCGATCCCCGAGACCAAGGCCGAGAGCCCACCGTGGGCAGCTTCGCCTGCCGACGACACGGATCCAGAGGACCATGCTGGCGGGGAGTTGGTTGCCTACGGCGAGAGCGGGGCCAACTGCGCCGAGAGGGGCCTGGCCAACCTCGGCTTCAAGATCGGCGTCACGGTAGAGCTGAAGGCCCGCGTTTCGAGAGACGACGGCGGCGACGACGAGCTCCAACGGTTGAAGCTGGCCAAGTTCGACGCTGCGACAGGCTCGGTAACCTTGGTGAGCTCCTCGGAGAGGCTGACCAGCAAGACGGCCCCGAATGAGTTCGAGGTCCCCGTCGGCACGCTCGTTGACGAGTACAAGGCTGGGATGGTACAGTGATGATGGTGATGATGATGGTGATGATGCTGATCATGGAAACGATGTCGGTAATGATGATGATGATGGTGGTGATGGTGATGATGGTGCTGCTAATGATGATAATGATGATGATGATGCTGATGATGATGATGATGATGATGATGATGATGATGATGATGATGCTGATGCTGATGCTGATGGCCATGATGGTGGCAACGGTGGCGACTGCGATACTTACGATGATGACGGCGACCACGGCGACATGAGCGATACTGACGGTAAAGCTCGAAACCCTGAAGACGACGACGGTGTCCACGACGAGCAGAAGGTGGGGGAGAGGAGGAGGAGGAAGAGGAGGAGGAGGAAGAGGAGGAGGAGGAGGAGGAGGAGGTAGGAGAAGGAGGAGGGGGAGGAGGGGGGCAGGGGGAAGATGACGGGAGGGCGAGGAGGAGACGGGGGAGGGTGGGGAAGAGGGGGGCACTGAGAAGGCGGAGGAGGACGAGGAAGGGGAGACGGAGGAGGAGTAGGATGAGGAGAAGGAGAGAGAGGGATGGAGGGAGAGAGGACGGGAGGGAGGAAAAGGATACCTAGGATGGAGGAGAGGAGGAGGAGGAGACGGACGAGGAGGAGGCGACGGGTGAGGAGGAGAGTGCGAGGAGGGTAAGGAGGAGGAGGTCCATTTCAAAGGCCCATGGCCGCTTGAAACATCACTGCCCCACCCCCCAACTTCAGAAAAACCAAGTCGCCCCCCTCCCCCCCAAAAAAAACGACGGGATAATAAGTATACCATCTCCCACCGAAAAAGCTATGGCTAAGCGTGTCCCTCTTCCCTCCTCTCCCTCTCCCCTCCTCTCCCTCCTTCTCCTCCTCTCCCTCCTCCTCCTCTCCCTCCTCCTCCTCCTCCTCCTCCTCCTCCACCTCCCCTCCCTTTCTCTCCTCATCATCGTCCTTTTCATCTTCCTCCCGTCTCCTCCGTTTTGCACCATCCAAGGTTGTTGTCGTGGCCAGCACCTACCACCACGTGGTGAACTCTGCCTGCGCCTTGACGTACAAGGATATGGATGCCGAACTCGGCAAGAGCGTCATTAGGTGCGCGGTCGCCCGCGCATATCGTGACCAGAGCTCGACGGTGCACGTGAATATCACAACTACTAGGGGCAATCGGTCTGTGTTGAGCCGTGAGAAGTTTGCTGCAGGTGCGTTGATCCTAGTGCCGCTGACTCCCAATGTTGTGCTGAGTGCCAAGGCACCTGCGTCAGGGGTGCTCGTTGAGTATGATTCCGCGGCAGACTCGAGCCAGCACTTTTGGCTAACCCCTAAGGTAGACATGGCCTGGGCTGCAGATGACGCGAACCCAGGTTTCAAAGTTCCATTTTGGAGCGCGAAGTCGGCTCAAGACTCTGAACTGGCCAACATGGAGCCTTCCGCAGTTTTTGT